CGGGAGAACTCCCCGCCTGCCCACCCCACCCCCACCCCACCCGCCCAAGCGTGCGGCTTCCCGTCCTCGGTGGCCCTACCCTGAATCCTAAAATGTGGGTTCCAATCCGGGACCTGCACGCCCGTCCCGATCCCCAGGGCGCAGGTACCGGCCCGCGCACCCCGCAGGCCGGGTCTTGCCCCCTCGGAGCAGGACCGCCCAGGCCACCCCAAATCCGGCCTCCTGGGCCCCCAGCAGCGCCCTCCCCGCCCCTCCCCATCCCGTGCCGCTCGCATTTTGGGGCAAATCAAGAGTGAAGAGGGCTCTACGTCTGAAACTGCGCGGTTTCGCCACTCAGCGCCTCCTGGCAGAAACTTCCCTTTTAAAAAAAAGAAAGAAAGAAAGCAACACTTTTAGGCTAACATTTCAATCCCTCCTGCCCTTTAGAGTTCCTAGTTCTGCTTCCAGCTGGCTCTGGGTCTCGAGAGATATAAAGAGATTCTGTGAGCGTTTAAGGGTTATTTAAAAAGTTAAAAAAAAAAAAATCTTGAAAATTAAAGGGGGGGAACACCTTATCACACACATCCAGGAAACGCAGCCCCGTGCACCGCCCGCTCAGGGATGGACAGAAGACCGGGACTCCCTGGGCCGGATCTGGGGGCGCCCGGGGGGCTGCCCGCGGTGCGCGTCGGGGTCCGCGGCGAGGCCGAGCCCCTCCCGCGACCCCTATGGACGCGCCCTCCGCCCGGCCCGTGTGGACGGTCCCGGCCATTGTTTGCGGGGGACGCCTGTTAGGACGCATTGTTTTGGCTGTTTCCAACTTGCCCCGGCCCCTCCCGGGCCATCGCAGGGGACCCCGCGCCGGCCCCCTCCCCTCCGCTCGCCCCCACGGCCCAGCCCGCAAACCGGGAGACCTGCCCGGCGGAGCCACCCAACTTTTCAGGAACAGCCCCCACGCACCCCGCTCCCCCCGCCCCGACCCGGAGGGGGACTCCCCGCCCCCCGCCAGCCCGCTTCAGGAGCGAGTGTGACGGCACAGCCCTGTGCACACCGGGCTGGCCCGGCGCCGCCTCGCAGCCGC